CATGAAAATATCATTGAAAACAGTGAAATATGATCAAATCATGCATAAGAAGGTCAATGATAATTAGTAAACTTGAAATTAATTGAAATCATAAGAAAATCAGTAAAACCCTATAATTCGGCAAGAATCATAAAGTAGAAATTGAGGTTTCTTTGGGACTCAATAGATGAAGATAAACCCATTTATGAATTTCTCACATACCTTGATGAAGCCCTACTTCAAAATCCTTGAAATCCTAGCTTGCTTGTAGAAGAAGACTTGAGAGAGAAATTTTGGAGTTTGAGAGGATGAGAGAGAATGGGGAGATTAGGGTCTTACGAACCTATTAAGATCTTTAAAATACACCTAAAATGTTATAGTATAGGAATTAAAAGATCAAAAAACTATCTGAATGACCTGAGAAATAATTGTTGGATCAACTCTACCACTCCATCTACAGTCTGTACAATTAATTACGGATCGTACTTGCTCTTCATGAATCATTTTCCTGAAAGTTCAAATCTCTGATGAAAAACCAAAAATTGTGATCCATGACCCATCAAACCTTACACGACTCGTACATGCCATCCATAGAACCTAGGTTTTGAAAACCAAGTTTTTGACTTTGAACTACGAACCATGATCCATGAGTTGTATGCCCATGTATGACCCGTACACTTCCTCATAGAATCCTTATTACTAGAATACCATATTTCTGAATATTAAAACCATAAGACTGAACCATAATCCATGGACCAAACCATTATTTGTCATGTTCGTTCGTGTGTTGAGGTCAGAGACTTTGACATTTTCCAAATTTCCAAGGCTTACATCCCGGATTAGGTTCCATGATCTGTGGTTCCATGTATGGCTCATACATGAAACTCGTGAAACCTTGCACTATCAACTTTCTTAAACTTTTAAATTTCCAAGTTACCTTTTGCATTTCCGAGGTGTTACAATATCTTCACATTTGAAACATTCATCCTCGAATGAGATTTAACTAAGAAAGAATAGAGTAGGAAAGAGATCTAACAACCTAACATTAATGCAAAACACATAAAAATGTATACAACTAGGGAGTAATCAACTTTGGGCCAACACATGAAGTTAAAAATTGATTTCATGAACATGCATACATAGGGAATCATGTGAATAGCTGAAACAAATAAATTCTAAAGAGTACATGGGAGGAACTAATACCTTTGACTGAAACTGGATCGGAGGGAAAGATATGGGGCACTTGGATAGCATATCAGGTACAGCCTCCCAAGTAGCACCTTCGACTAACTGATTCCTCCAAATGGCTTTCACGAAAGTACCTTTTTTATTTCTTAACTTCCAAATTTGACGGTTTAGAATTTCAATCAGAACCTCTTCATAAAAGAGACTTTCCTTCACGCCAACACTCTCTAATGGCACCACTGAAGTAGGATCACCAATACATTTTTTCAACAAGGAAACATGGAACACGGGATGGATTGATGCTAAGTTTGAAGGCAAATCTAACTCATAAGCTACCTTCCTGAAACACTTCAAAATCTGATATGGCCTACATAAGAGAGACTGAGCTTTTTTTTCTTCTCAAATGTCATCACACCTTTCATAGGTGAGACTTTCATGTAAACCCAATCATAAACGGTGATTTCTAACTCTTTCCTTCTCACATCTGCATAAGATTATTGTCGACTATGAGTTGTTCTCAATGTATCCCTTATAAGTCAAACTTTCTCCATAACCTCATGAACTAACCAGGGCCTATCAAGGCAATCTCGCCAACTTCAAACCAACCAATAAGAGACATACACCCATATAAAGCCTTAAATGGAGTCCACTTAATACTCGAGTGATAACTATTATTATAAGCAAACTCAATCAAAGGAAAATGTTCATCCAGTTACCTTCAAAGTCAATCACACAAGCTATTAACATATCCTCCAAAGTTTGAATAATCCATTCATCCTGACCATCAGTCTCAAGTCCTTTCTGAAAAAGATCTCTAAAACTGAAAGGTGAACTAGGTACCTCTGTCAGAAATGATGGATAAGGGCACCTCGTGCAACTTAGCCATCTCCCAAATATAGAGCCTAGCATAATCTTCGATTGAATATGAGGTCTTTATAGGAATAAAATGCGCTAACTTAGTCATTTGGTCCACAACAATCCAAATAAAATCATGCTTCAATGAGTCTAAGGTAAACTTGTAATAAAGTTCATATTCAAATCATCCCACTTCCAAGTAGGAATGTTAATATCTTGAGTCATAACTCTCGGTTTCTGATGCTCAACTTTCACATTTTGGTAATTTGGACACTTATTCATAAATTCCACAATATTCTTCTTCATCGCATTCCACCAATAGACTTTCCATAGATTATGGTACATCTTGGTGGCTCCTAGGTGAATAGAATGTCGAGAACTATGAGATTATGATAAAATTTGTTGCCTCAACTCATCAACATTCAGAACACACAAGTGAGCTTGGTAAGGAAGCACACCATATCCCCCTTGGGAATAAGCCTTAATAGCTCTTTCTGAAATTGCTTTCTTCAACTCAACCCGAGTAGGATCATTATCTTGCTTTTCCTAATTAACATTTGACACAAGACATGATTCTGAACCATTTTGCACAATAATACCGCCATCCTCTGAATCAACCAAATGAACTTACAAACGAGATAGTCTATGACACATCACCAACTAACTTCTTTTTTGCATCCTCAAAATGAGGAACACTACGCATGGACAATCTACTAAGTTGTTGCAGCAACTTCAGTAGTTGTTTAAATTGGTGCAACAATTATTGAAATTGTTACATAAACTTCATGTAGTTATTGCACTACTCAAACAACTGTTGAAGTTGTTACAGCAATTTCAACTATTTAATTTTTTGGTAGAAAGTGAGGTGGATGAGGAGCAGATGAAGGAGATGGTGGTTTTCGCGGAGGAGGAGGTGGTGGTGATGGTGATGACGGTGAAGGAAGAGGAGGTGGTTGTTGCAACATTGGTGGGGAGTGTTGAGTAAGAGGAGGAGGTGGTGGTAGTAGCGGAGGAGAAGATGGTGGTGATGGTGACGGCGGCAGAAGGGGTGGAGACGGCGGCAAAAGGGGTAGGGATGGGGGAGAGAGGTGGGGAGAGGAAGGCAGGGCTTTGTGTAAATAATAAAACTTGAGAGTTTTAAAATTAATGTCATTAACATCAAACTTAAAATTGTCAGCTCTACTCAATAATTAAGATTTGTATCATTTTTTCTTAGTTTTGAAACTTTATTGTCACCCTTAATTACTTTTCCCAAGTGAAATGGTGATAAGAACTATCCAAGGCATATACTCGAATGGTAAAATAATAATTCACATACATAATAATAGAGAAAATTATAGTCCAATGTTTTTGGACCTTCTAAATTATAAAATATGTACACAATGTAGTAAAAAGTTTATTGGGTGGTCCTAATTTGGTTGCACCATTTAAGTAATACTGGCTATATTTTTTTACTGCACGAATATCCAATACTTGGAAACTTTAGGGCAAAAGCATATGCTTCTTTTTTTACTTCTTTTGCTCTTGTATTCAGACACACGTATGCAAAATTTTAACCAATTTTAACATATGTTTAAATCATGTATGATTGATCGCAAACATACATAAAAAAAAATTAAAAGGATGTTAAACTGATTTGTTAGATTTATTGTTACTTTGGCAAGTTGATGGTTGAGAGGTTTTCTTTATAATACATGAAACTTATATTTCAAATTTGAGCTTATTTCGAGTAAATTTAAGTATTCAAATTTAGAAAATATAATTATTCTTTTCTTGAAAAAGTCAAGCGCGCATGCATGAAACTTTGCCCAAATTTTAACGTGCGTCTCATTTCTATATGAATTAGCATTGTCATAAATGAAAAAATTAAACGAGTTTGATAGATTTGTTGTTATATGATAATTTGATATTTGAGATTTATTCATAAAACATAGGTTTTAAATTTAAGATTATTATTTAAAGAAAATTTGAGTGTTTGAAATTTGAATAAGTAAATTTATTATTTTGTTTAAAATATTTTACATGCACACGCGTGAAACTTTAACCAATTTTATGGTGTATCTCATTCGCGTATGATTGAAACTCACCCATACTTAAAAAATTAAAATGATGTTAAATGAATTTATTAGATTTGTTCTTATTTTGATGAATGTCACGGTTGAGATTTGTTCTTTATGATACATGGAACAAATATTTCAAATTTGAACTTATTTGGAGTACATTTGAGTGTTCAAATTTGAAAAATAAAATTATTATTTTCTTGCAAAAAAATTAAGAGACACATGCCTGAAACTAGTCAACATTAACATGTGTTTCGTCGGTGTTAAATGGGTTTGTTAAATTTGTTGTTTTTATGACAAATTGATGATCAAATATTGTTTTTTTACGATATTTAAAAATTTAAGTTTCAAATTTGAGATTATTTAATTAGAATAGACTTGAGTGTTAATTTGTTAAAATATGAAGAGCTAAAAAACCTATTTTGGCAAAACAAATTTAGACAAATATGCCTAAGACTTAAGACATATGTACATACAATTTACATACCTATACATGCAATATACATTACCTATACATACATAAACACAATATATACACACCATATACAACCGATTGTATATGTAGTGTATACTTCAGTCATGTTTGATAAACAAGATGGAAAAATAGTATACATTGGTAACTTTTCCTCCGCAATATGTGTGAGTTCAATTCTATGCCCTAATTATGAGATGATTTTTTGAAAATAAAAAAACAGGCTAATCTTCTAGTGTCTTGCAATATCTTGAATCCTATTTTGTGTTTATCCATCTTTATGAGATTCAAGACAAAAATGTGAATCTATGAGACACAAAATAGGAGGCAACATAGCAGAGTCAAATAGACAAAGTAGAGAACTCTACACTAATTGTTTTTAGTCCTGTGCCTAAATATATATATATATAAATATCCTTTAAAATTGTGAACATACTAATTGTGTAACTATGTTAAGGCTTCTAATCCTTCTTGTCTTGGTTTATCAATTATCAATTCTATTTGTGGAATGCCACAACTTTTCATTTCCTTCATTTGATGTTGGAAGTTACAGCAATTTAACTTACTGGGGCTCAGTCACTGCAGCCAATGGAACACTTAATCTCACACCTGATCAGCCACAGAACAATTCCAACAAAGTTGGAAGAGTCTTGTTCAGTCACTCAATACCTGTGTGGCCTGCTTCTTTTTCCACCATATTCACTATAAGGATTTCGACACATCAATTGATTACTGGTGATGGAATGGCGTTCCTCATAGCACAAGACGATAAGCCCTCCCCACCGGATAGTTATGGCTCGTTTATTGGAATTCTTGATCCGTCAACTCAAGGTTAGCTAGCTCCTACAAATGAAGTTATTCAGTTCTTGATCCATCACTTAAAAAGTTTCTTCTTTTAAAATGCAGGAGGCACACTTGATCAGCTTGCTGTGGAGTTTGATACCTATAGAAACGAACACGAAATTGATGGAAACCATGTTGCTGTTGTAACTACAAGTATGGAGAGTCCTGTTGCAGTTAAAAGTTTAAATGATGTTGGAATTGATCTAAGGAGTGGAAGAAATATTACAATAAAGATTGATTATGATGGATGGACTAAAGTTCTTGAAATATCTGTAGCATATGCAGGGCAACCCCTAGTGAACTTTTTAAGACAAGAAATAATCATGCAAGAAACAGTTCCGCGAAATGCTTATGTTGGATTTTCAGCTTCCACTGCCTATTTCTCAGAGGTACATCATGTTCTTAACTGGAATTTCAAATTATTTGAATTGCCAGAAGGATCTCTCAAGTATGGCGTTGATACAGACAAGGAAAATATTGCTCTGCTGGTTGCTACTCCTATTGCGATTGTCTCATTGGTTGTGGTTGTATCGTTTCTCATTACAGCTCGTAAGGATAGAAAAGAAAGATTTCAGATTAAAGAGGACATTGAAATGCTAACAAGAACTGCAGCTAGTGGTCCACAGGTTTTTACTTACCAGAAACTCTCCAAGGCTACTAAAGGCTTCAGCAAAGATAACCTATTGGGAACTGGAGGCTTTGGAAGTGTTTACAAGGGGGTGTTTTATGATTCTCCTACAACTGTAGCGGTTAAACAAATCAACGCGACATCTAAGCAAGGTATGTTTTCCATTTAAAGTTCCCTCAAGTATAAGTGGTTGTGTGGCATATACACTATCATTAAAATTTCAGATTACCTAGAAGTATTTATAATACAAGGTGAGAAGGAGTACTTGGCTGAAATATGTACAATTGGGCGCGGCGCCTAAAGCACAAAAACTTGTTGCAGCTACTAGGCTGGTGCCATGACGGAGAGAAACTCCTGTTAGTGTATGAGTACATGCCTAATGAAAGCCTTGATAAATACATCGGCAAGATGTTTCTTGATTGGGACACCAGATTCAAGATTCTATCAGGACTAGCATCAACACTAGTGTATCTTCATGAAGAATGTGGGAATCCTATTGTACATCGAGACATTAAGCCAAACAATGTGATGCTAGACACTGAGTATAATGCTCACTTGGGTGATTTTGGGCTAGCAAGATTACTCCAAAATGAGAACTTTGTTACAACAATGGTGGCTGGCACTCCAGGATACTTAGCACCAGAAGTTAGCTACACAGGGAGGGCTACCCCGGAGTCTGATGTCTATAGTTTTGGAATGGTTGTATTAGAAGTGGTATGTGGACGAAGATCAAAAGGGATTATGGAAGAAAATAGCTTGGTCGATAAAGTATGGAGTTCATATGAGAAAGGTACAATATTGGAATGTATGGATCAAACACTTGATGGGAAATTTGACAATGTACAAGCTCAAAGGTGTTTTATCACTGGATTAGCATGTTTACATCCTGACAGAACTCTCCGGCCTAAAATGAGAAAAGTGGTGCAAGTGTTTATGAATCCTGATGAGCCGTTAATGAAATTGCCCGAGTCTCGGCCTAGTCTCGTTTGTGTTTCATGGCATTCTCCTACTTGTTCAACAATAACAACTAGTCTAGATAACATGAAGCACATTCCAGATGAGGTGACAGTCTCTTATGAGGATGCTTCTCAGACAAAGAAACTACATATATAGTTAAAAAGGGAAGGTACATTGTGTACTTCTAGGACACTCATGTGAACTTCCTTTTCCCCTTATCTGATCTCATGTTTGTGTGATTCAACACTATATGGGCAATATTTGTTCATAAAAAAGGGAGACCTTGTGTAAATTGTTTTATTTGAGAGTAAGGCTTAATTCATGAACTTGGGCAGATGTGTCTTTAGTATGGGCTTAATCCATATCATATCTACTACTCTAATCTATTCTTTCAAATAATTATCTATTGTCGCACTATTTGTAAATTATGTACCAAATTTGGAGTAAGATATATTAAAGATATATTACTCCTTAAAAATAGCCTAAAATAGAGTCTTACTCACTTAATTATCTCCCAAATTTACTCCTTCACTCCAAATCAATCCAATCTCTCTCCTAATCCTTCCTCTTGTTAAGAGCTTGTTTGGCATTGCTGTTGGGAGGTCAAAACTATTTTTTTTTTAGAAAAAAAAATATTTTTTTTTTGAAAAATCAAGTGTTTGGCAAACCCTCAAAAGTTCTTTTAAATAGAAGTAGAAGCAGTTTTCTATTGTTGGGAAGAAGCTAAAATAAGAAGCAGAAGCAGAAAACTATTTGTTTGAAGACTAAAATATCCCTTACATATTTATCAATATATCTCTTATTAATTAATTAACATATTTCATAAGATTTGTTAAGTTTCATTCAAGAATTTTATTTATTATTTTTATATGATAAATTTTTTATTTTATTTATATTTATGTATTATTATTTATATTTTATATATTATTTTATAAATTCAACACTCAGGTTCATCTTGTTACAAGTACTATGGCTATACATAATTTCATACGACGACATTCTACCACTGATAAAGGCTTCAACTATTTTGCAAATGAAGACATTATTACAGAAATCGAAGAAGAAGATGGGGAGCCTTCAGAGATACCTTCAGAAATACCAGACAGATCGTCTACTACTATGAAAATATTGCATGATAGAATTAGGGATGAAATCATTGAAAAAAATTGTGATGTAGGAAGAACTTTATTTATTTTTGCAGTAAGTTTTTCCTATGTAGTGATTTTATTTGTGGAATAGTTTTTAAATTTATTTTTCTTGATATTTTTAATTATATTTAACTCATCATGTTAACATTATATTAATATTTTATTTATTTATCTATGTATAATATTGATTAATAATTTGAATATGTACATTTTAATTTAATTAAAATAAAATTTAATTAAAGTTATGTATTAGATATTTAAAATAGTTTCTCTCTACAAAATAATCTTAAAAGCATATTGATGCTTGCCCTTTTTCGTAATTTGACTCTCAAAACATTTTTAAAAAAAAGATAGTCAAACACAAATTGCTTATCAAAAGCACTTTTCAAATGAATATGTCAAACACAAATTGTTTTTTTTTTTTTGAAAAACACTTTTCAAAAAAGCTATTTAAAAAAAAACATTTTTAGAAATTAACAGTTTTTAGCAGCAATATCAAACAGGCTCTAAGTTTCAAACTTTTCCGCAACTGATTAATCCCAAGATTGTTGTTTAAACTCCCTCATATCTTCTACCCAAAAAACTCCTATCCATTGTTAAAGCCACTAGTGCTCACTCCCCCCGAATTGGCAGTGGATTTCATGGCCAAACAACAGTATCCATTTCAGTTGATACACTTCAGCAGCTGCTCAAGCAATCAGCAAGGTGTCTCATGTTCATCACCCAAAATATTGATTAGGTATATATGTATTTAATAAAATATTCATGTTTATCTAATAAAGAATTTATGTATATGATAAAGTGTATAAATATCTAAGTTATGATTATATGTAATTATGGAAAAATATTTTTGATGCTCAAAAAACGGAATGAAATTTTAAAATATTGATTATTCTTTGGAGAAGGAATTCATGAAAGAAACGGGGAAAAGATTTCTAATGATAAAAAAAATGGAAAGAATTTTGGAATTTTTTTTTTTGGATTAGTGATACAACAGATACTCATACGCGTGATACGCTCCTAAATTGATGCGTTCAAGTTACATTTCGTATTTAGATACACATAATTAGATGTTAAATTGAATATGAAACAAAAATACGAACTAATTCAATGATCAAGTAGTAAAGCATGCCACTGATAAATACTGAAATTGAAATAACTGAATATAAAGTCATGCAATATATGAGATTGAACTATGGGAGATAAAAATAATCAACATATAACCACGTGAGCAAAACATGAAATTAGATGTATAATCCCCATAAAAAGGGCTCAATATACCTTGCCAGGGTATAAAGGTTGATCTGAGCTAACGTGCTACCACTAAGCTAATATCCATAAAAGGACTAACGAGTCAGTCCTGGTCTGATGGGTGACCCTTAAATACCTGTTGTGGCACGTAGGTATGGGACTTAAGGATTGCTACTAAAGGACGAATATATTGAATGATGTTGATAAAATGATAAATCTAAGTAGCCCATGCATGAATACTGATAAATATTGATAGATACATTATCTGAAAGCATCCTTAATTATGAAAATTGATAGTCTGAGATATGCATGTGAAATTACATAGTTCTAATACACGAAAATATCTATGTTCTGAGGGTTCATAAAAATATCGTGTAAAAATACTAAATTATCGTTTATAAACACATTATTAAACTATTCATGAAGAGGAATGAAAAATACTATATGAATCATGTTTTTCATAAAATTCTAAATTTTATAGAAACAATGAACTGAAAACTAGGTTTACTTTGGGCCTCAATGGTGAAAGGATACCCATTGACGAAATCACAGATACCTGGAATGTAAAACCTTGATAGAATCGCTAAACTTGAAGCTTGAAGGTGAAAAACCCTAACTTTGATCTTACTAATTGAAAATGTTGATGTAGGGCATGAGGGAGAACTAAGTTCCTTATTTTGATGGTCATACAAACCTTAAACTCTCCATAAATCTTGAAGAATAATACAAACTTGATGAAGAACGACCAAGAAACTCTTTCTTGAAATTTTTGAATTCGTTTCTTGAAAGTCCTATGTTTAGAGCATAGAATTCTTGCTTAGAATACATAATCGTATGTTAGAATCATTAGGGAATCGTGAAAATATGCTAACCTTGATTTGGAAGTAAGAATTCTTGATGGACTTGTTCAAAAATCAAGTCTTAAACCCTAGAAGTGACGTTTTGATTTCACTAGAGATAGGAGGAGGATTTGATGTTAGAATCTAGTAGAAATTCTAGAATTTATGTTGTAAAATCGTAGAGCATACTTACCAAAACTTAGTAGGATTGAACAGAGTTTTGGGGTTGTTGGGGTCGACCAAGGCGTGAAAAGAAACTCGATATAGGTTTTAATGAAATCTAGAAATTTTAATATACAAATGATACACATGATATACGGTCAATATGCATGGTCTACGGACCTTTCTACGACCCGTAAAATGATCTGCGGATTGTGGGTTGGATCCGTGGAATTCAGGTGCAAATTTTGAGCCTCTGATCCCATTTTACAACTTGAAACTACAACCCATAAATGCTTTTACGCCCCGTAGTTTTTGGAACAAAATTTCAAACTAGGTGGGTCATGAGACACTTAATTCTTTATATTCTATGAGATATGATCGTTTAAAGTTGACCCTTGCATAATTTCATGAAAAAACTTAGTGAGTAGGAAAGACGTTGAACTCGACTTAGTGCTAGAGGTCTCTAGTAACCCTAAATCACTTCCAATATACTTCTTACACTTGAAAATAAACCTTAACACACATAAACTAGTAAGAATCGTCCGGTACGATCCTATACACATATAAAGTATGGTTCAAATTTTAGCTTAGAATTTTTTTTTTGAAATGTTACAAATTATCATCATTGTTGTTAACATTATTGGTTAGTCACATCATGGTATCTTGAGATGACAATAGGTTCGTCCAAGAGGTAATTCAGATTTGCAATTGTTTGCAACATTAGTTGCCTACTTTGGATGCATTTTGATAATACAGTATCTTGATATGAAATTTTGATTCATTCAAGAGGGCATCCTTTTTCTGGTGTATCATACAATTTGGTAATACAAATATACAATATGTTGAGGTGAGACTGATTCGTGATTTGCAAAAAGGTGCATCATGTATATGCTTTTATGGCATATGGAGGACTGATAAGGTAATAGTGCTTGAATACATATTTGTGTATATATATATATATATATATATATATCACACGTGGCACTAATCTTTACTATACTGTTGGACCATGATCTTATTAGCTTAATTGAAAATATGTTATGATTATGGAAGATCTCATGCCACCATAGTCTGGTATTTAAGATTGAGACCGAAAAGGTTGATTAAAGTTTATGGACTATTTTCTAAAATGTGTCCACAAATATTTTCTTATATCAATCCGAAAAAATCTCTTCGCCAAAAAGGTCGAAGTTTGTTTTGTTTTCGACAATTATTTTTGCTAATGTAGCCCAAGTGGAACAATGTTAGAAAATCATTATTTAATTTTTCTTTTACATTTTAATTATTTCAGATTGGAAAAATCACACCATATACACATTTAAGGGACAATATTACAAGTTTTAAACACATTCTTAAAAAATTCTTACTTATAACAGTTTATTTAAGGGTTATAACATATTACTTAAATTTAACTTTATTTAAAATTAATTAAAGATTTATTTAAAAATGATTAATCTCTTTGTATTTTTATATTATTAATTATTAATAGCTAGCTAATATAATTTCAGTTCCTTTTTTAAAATCGAAATTATCAGTTACACGAATTTAGGGATTTACATTGATTAGACTTCCTTTTTTACCGTTACACTCCAATTACCTCATACACCAATCACAATTCCCGCCCACCCAAGCCTATCAGTTTATACGCCACCACCCCACTACCCCCATATTCACAATTTTCACTCCCATCTTCCTCACCACTCCACCATCACATTCACAACCGTCCATCCAATCCTTCTCACAACCACAATCGTCA